ATTGTAGAGATGAGGTCTCGCCTGCCCAGGCGGGTCTTGAACCTGCGGGTTCAGGCAATTCACTCACCTCAGCCTCCCAAAGGCAGGGGATTACAGACTGAGCCACCGAGCCCGGCTTTATTATTATTTTTTTAATGGGGATGGTTCAAGATCACCTATGCTGTGTCATGGCAAGTACAACGGGGTCTCAGAGAAGGGAGTGGTTGCTATGAGCTGAAAGAAGCAACAATGTCTTCCTAGAGATAAATGCAGGATCAGATGGTTATGAATTTTCATATGCATGTAGGAAGTCACGATAAATCAACCACATTCCCATGACCACGGCTGCTTCCACAAGCTGCCTGACTGAAAGGCCAGTTCTAACCCTGGCTCTGACTGCTCTTAGTTTGCCTGGGAATGCCGCCGGTGTGGCCAACTCATACATCTGCCTGGCACTGATCCAGCAAGGTGGCACCCTTTCCGGCTGGTTGCTGGGTGGAACAGAGTAGTCAAGACTCTGCCTCAATCCAGCCCAGGTTGGAGTTTCTCCCCCAGGGAACAGTTCTCTGCAGGGAAGGCAGAACTTAGAGGTCTTGACTCCTCACAGAAGCCTATGCTCGCATAGTCCCTGTAGCCTTTTTTTTGAGTTGGAGTCTCACTCTGTCTCCCAGACTGGAGTGCAGTGGCATGCTTCCGGCTGCTGCAGCCTCAACCTGCTGGGTCCCGGTGATCCTTCCTCCTCAGCCTTCCAAGTAGCTGGAACTATAGGCGCGTGCTACCACACCCGGCTAATTTTTTAAAAAATTACTGTAGAAACGAGGTCTTGCCACATTGCCCAGGCTGTGAAACCACGGGCTCAGGCAATCCACTCGCCTCAGCCTCCCCAAGTGCTGGGATTACAGGCTGAGCCACCGAACCTGGCCAGTCCCTGCAGTCTTGAGGGATGTGGCACTGCTTGTCCTGCTGCTGACCACCACCCTCAAGGGTGAATCGACAGAGTGGCTGTTTGCTGAGCACAGAGGGATGCATTTCCCTTGCTTGACTCAAGCTTGGGCTTTCCTGGAGGAGGCTGGGCATCTGTTAAGGCAGCATGCACCTACCTCTATTCCTAGTGTAGGCTCGCTGTTCTTTAATGATGGAGAAAATGTTTGCCCCAACCCAATTCTTGCCTGCTTCAATCTGTTCTACTTCTCACCAAGACCACTGCTGCTTCCCCTCACTCCCATCTTTTCATTCCTGTCCCTATCATCCCAATTTTGGCTGCCACAGAATCACTCCAGAAGCCTCACCTAACCCTACACCCTGCCATACCCCACTCTCCCATACCCTGGCCTTCCTTTGTCCAGGTCCTATTCATCACCTGGCCTGAACTTTTGCTACGGTCTCCTAGTTGGTCTTCTTTCTTCTGGCTATTCCCCCCTCCACTCTTTTGCTAGACTGGCCTTCCTAAAACATAATCCCAATCACACACCCAGCAACCCGATAGGTGCTCCTGCAGCCTGATGAGTAAAGTCCATGAAACCCACCCTGGCATTTGAGGTTTTCTATGGCCTAGTTGCGACCTCCCTCATTGTCTAGTCTTTTACCTACCCTTCATGCTTTCTCACTCCAACTCCTTTGCAAGTCTTAGGCCCCAAATTAAACCTGTCCTTCTTGACCTTCAATATCTCACTTTCTCTTCTCTACAACTTTATTGCATTGCCCATGCACCGCCCAACCCACCAAATGCTCTCTCGTGTCTTTCAACACGCAACTGGAGAATTCACTGTACCAAAGTTTCCTCTGACCCTCCCAAACAAATAGACATAAACCCTTCCCTTCACCATGACAAGTAGGATACTCAAATAATGATGGTATTGAGCATCTTAGTACTTAGTACTGGCTACACAGGTGAAGAAACCAAGCTGAGAAAGTTAGAGTAGCTTTCCAAAGCCACCAGCTTGTCAAGACTCGGCAGGGGACTGGAATCTAAGTCCATTGGACTTTGAAGGCCTTGTGTTTCTGCTCTGTCTACACTGCATCTCATAGTTGTCATTAGTGATGTATATTTATCTTTCCTTGACTGGTTGGAAGTCCCTCCAGGAAGAACCGTGTTTTATTCAATTCTTTTACAGGCTGTCATACCTTCCTGTTTTATTTCCTCCACATCAATTATCATTATTTGAGAGTGCCTTGTTTATTTATTTGTTTACTTTATTGCCTTCCTGGTTCCACTAGAATGGGGGCTTCTGGGAGCAAAGACTGTGTCTTTTTTGTTCATTGTTTCTCCAGGACCTAGAACATTCTCGAACCATAATAATCTATACTCAAAAGTTTGTTAAGTAAAAAACAAAATGGAAGAAGACAAATAGGCAGGAGAAAAATAGGAGGGTGAACGAATAGATATTTGCAAAAAAAAAAAAAAAAAAAAAGAATCTGGTAATCACCCCAGAACATTTAGAAAGAACTTCATTGTGTGAAGGAAGTACCACATCTGTATTTACTGTCAGGAATATTGTTCCAATTTGTTCCTTAGAACTGTCTTTCAAAGAATCAAAAGAGGAAAGAAGTGCCCACAAAAATCAAAGCCAAGTGCAGCTATCTAATTACAAATGCAAATACCGTTTGGCAAAGGAATTCCACTTCTAGAAAAGTATTCTACAGATATATTCACATATGTACAAGGTTAGTCACTTCAGCATTATTTGCTGTAGTAAAAGATTGGAAACAATCCTTATTCCCATCAAATGGAGACTGTTGAATACAAACTGTGGTACATTTATACAATGGATTATTATACAGACACAAGAATGAGGAAGCACTCTCTGTACTGACAAGGAAAAATCTATAGACTATATTGTTAATTGAAAAAATGCAGGGTGCAGAACAATGTGCCTAAAATATCACTCTTTGTGTAAAAATGAAAGGGGTAGACACAATCTCTGTGGCTTAAGCACAAAGAATCCTGGAAGGGCACAGAAGAAAGTAAGAACAATGGTGGTGAAGGGGGCAAGCTGGGGGCACGAGGACATGTAGATGGGGGACGAGGGTGGGAAGGAGACTTTTCCTAGTAAAACATTTTACCTGCAAACACTGAAAACAATAAAAACCAGCAGCTGACAGCAAACTCACCTGAATGCCAGGAGGGATGCTGTAGATGATCCGGATAGTTTTGCAGTCTGGGTGGCCAGGCAAGGAATGGGGGATGAGGTGGTACTCCATCTTCCCTGGAGGCTGGGTGCCCGTCTTCACCCCATAAATGGTCTTACAGGTTGGACACTGCAAACTCCCATCCTGAGGAGACAAGGCCGGAAGAGCCCAATCGGGAGACTGCTTTGGTAATAACCTTCCCTCTCAATCCCAAAAGGTACCTGAGATAAAGGGCAAATGGGGAGGAGCAAACGGGGAGGAAGGGGGAGAAGGCACCCAAATGAGTGAAAGATCTTAGTTTCTCTCAAAGCTTAGCTACCTAGTATATGTCTGCTTTCTCCAAAGTATCAGGTGGTAAATTCCACCAACAGTCCCTCACTCCACACTGAGGAATATGTAAGAGAAGCCCCTGTTCCTGAAGAGGAGACCAGCTCACTAGGGCAGGAAGTAAGCTCAGGGAACCACCACTTAACTGCTAAGTACTAAATGGGTGGAACAGACAGCAAGGACTCAAGAATAGCAGTTGCCCAATTGTCAAGCATGAGAATCATGCAGGGAGCTTTTTTTTTTTTTTTTGAGTTGGAGTCTCACTCTGTCACCCAGACTGGAGTACAGTGGCATGCTCCTGGCCAGCGCAGCCTCGACCAGCTGGGTTCTGGCGATCCTTCCACCTCAGCCTTCCAAGTAACCAGAACTAAAGGCACGCGCTACCACACCCAGGTAATTTTTGATTTATTGTGGAGATGAGGTCTCGCCAAGTTGCCCAGGCGGGTCTCGAACCCATGGGCTCAAACAACCCTCACCGCGGCCTCCCAAAGTGCTGGGATTACAGGGAGCTTGTTAAACGTAAAGATGCCAGGCCTCCCATCAGGCCCACTGAGTCAGAACTGGAAGGCTGCAAAGTGTAGTGGTCTAGAGTGTGAACTCGAAGGTCAAACTGCCTAGATTTGAGTCTCAGCTCTATTATCTACCTGCTGTGCAACCTTGGACAAATTAATGAACATCTCTGAGTTTCAGTTTCCTTACAGAACAAGAAAGATAAAATTATCTGTCTCATGGGGTTGTTGGGAGAAGTCAATGAGGCAATCTATAAGAAGTGTTTAGCATGTGGTGTTTCTAGATGTTATTAGAGTTTTGTGTTTTCTGTAGAGAGACTAATACTCGGACAGGTTTGGAAACCACTGCAATAAAAAGAGAAACTGGGCAACAAGTGCCAGAGTAAATGAGTTAGCTTTAAGAAAATGGTCCTTGAAGAATAGTTATGAATTGACTAAGAAAGATAGAGGCCGGGCTTGGAGGCTCAGCCTGTAATCCCATGCTTTGGGAGGCCAAGGTGAGTGAATTGCCTGAGCCCGCGGGTTCAAGAC